TATATATATATATATGATTATAATTTTATATATATAGTGTATACATGTATACACTTTTTAATCTTAAATAATGAAAAACGTATTACTGAATAAACCGTTCCATAGCAGAAATGTAAAGATTGCTTTGCTCTATGGGGAGTGTGTAGGTGCGAGAGCTAAACGGATTAATGAACTCATCTGATTACCTTTGCAAAGACAATATGATTTCTGAACATAAACAAATAAAAAATCCTTAAAGTAACACTAAACTCAGGAGTTAAATCTTGCAAAAATACATTCAAGTACCTTCACTATTAACAAAAATGTATCTTATGTGTGTATCACTCGGGTGTAGATCCTCAAATCATCTCTGAATTGGTACTGACACTGTCTGATTTGAGATTTGAATGCGTGAGGAGGCCTCCCTCGCACCTCGTGTCCCGAGAACTCTGGGGATAGGAACAGAGTCCAAGTAGACAGTGAGTGGCACGGGTGCCAGTGGTGATAACACCGTGCAAGCTGAAATCCAGGTGCTGTAGTAGAACCGGGCAAAATCCAAAATCTAGGTCAACGAGCCAAGGTCACACCAATTGGGCAGGTACAGTACACATGGATGAGGCAGAGGCAAAGTCCAGTAAACAATCCAAGGTCGGGCGGGTGGCAGGCAAAAAGGGTCAAGGTCAGATCTGGGTCAAAGTAAAGCAGGCGGCTAAATCACAGGACACAGGAACACAGGAGAGCGGAAGATAATCCAGCAATATGGAGGCATGCAGGTTGAGCTTATATAGTGGGAACGATTAGGTCAGTGTGTCACTTCCTGTGCGCTTTTTCGCGGCCGGTCCGTGGCGCATGCGGAAGTGCGCGTTTCCCAATGGTATGGAAAACGGGACTTTGCGCATGCGCAGCAGCAGGAGGTTGCTGACGCTGTACTTCCTTCTGGAGGGTGGCTACTTTTGTTCCCCATGACCCCTGTGTGTGTTGTAAAGCTCCAAGCTCGCTCCCATAATAGACTACAATCACAATACAAATGAGTAAACTAAACGTGAGATTGTAGTCCATCACGAGGGCAAGCTTGGAGCTGTGACTACTTTACAACATACATCGGTACCATGTGGAACAAACATAGCCACCCTCTATTTTTAAGATTTAACTCCTGAGTTTAATGTCACTTTAAAGCCAAAATGTATACCTTTAACTCTAGTCTATAGGACTGCCAGGCAAGAGGTTACTGATTACTACGGATGAGCTCAGGTTCGGAACGAACCCGTTTTCAACCTGAGCTACTCCAAGCTCAGAAGGAGCGCCTCCTGAACAGGGACGAAAGCTCCTTCATGCCACTCAATCAGCTGCGGGGAGGGAATTCCTTCAGATTGTCTTAAGGAAATGGGAGGGATGCAGTGACCTAATTGACCTTATGTGGCATTTGACCTTAAAATTAAATTTACATATAAGGTCAATTACCTTATATGAGGTCATAAAAGGTCTTTGACATCAGCACAAGCATCCCACCCCTTTGTTTACATGCAGATGCAGGGTAGTGAATGCCCGGCCTGCAACTGATTGGGTAGAAGTGCCCATGGTGCTTCCTTGTTCGGAGGAGCTAAATCCAAACCTTCGCTCATCTTTACTGATTACCAATTTAGGATGTGTGTTTTAGCCGGTGGATCCTAGAGGTGTTTGTATACATGGTGTTTTTATAATGTTGAGTAAACAAGGAGAAAACTCTGCTCCAGTGTGTCCTAATCCTAATTACAGTCTCTGTGTTAGATCTCAGAAGGCACATGGATCGTATAGGAAGACGGCAGTTTCCACATGCTGGTTACAGATTTGACTTTGAAGATGAAAGCCATGGATGGAGATTCAACCTCGACATGATTATTATATATTTTTACTCCATGAATTGGGTCATTGGATTTATTGTATTCTGTCTTCTCTGTTATTACTTCTTTCTCTCAGTATGACAAAATTACTTTGTGATCATAAATATCACAACGGTTGTTAAACATCACACCCAGTGAATAAACTTCTCTTTTGAAGTGTGTTTCAGTGGTAAAGTCTGTTCATAAAATGAGACGCTATATAACCAGAGTCATGAATCAGTCTGTTTTAGATATCATTTCACATGGTCACTCCTAATCCTAATGAAATCACACATAATCATGCTTTTCTCAGGAGTAGAGAGGAGCTGTGAACTTTTTAAAGTTTGTTGTTTTGGCATTCCCACTGATTTGGGCGCAAAGTCAGGTTTGTACATGCTCTTTGATCTGAGGCCATGTTCTTTAGGAGCTGTAAGGAGGTGTAAGGTTGGGCACACACCTTACAACCATCGCAAGACTTTTGTCTTGCGATGGTTGTAAGGTACTTAAAAAAACGTACGATCTGCCTATCTTGCATAGGCAGATCGTACTTGCGATGATCGCAAGCCACGCCCCCTGAGGGGCAGGCTTCCGATGACCGCAATGCCGAACGGGCAGTGTGCCCTTGCACACACCGTACGGACATGCCACAAACCCGCCGAACGTCGTACGATGCTCGGCGGGTTTTCGAACATGTCCGTAAGTTCAAAGTCGTGCAACCTTACAGTAGTAGAGGTCGCACGGCTCCCACACACCTTACGATAATCGTACGTTGCGGGATTTCCCACGATTATCCTAAGGTGTGTGGGGACCTTAAGACTATATTTTTGGTGTGAAATACCTTTCTTCCATTGGAACTAGTCATCTGATCCCAGAGCATTGCTCACATGATCTCATTGCCAGAATTCTATGTGCCCAATACCCTTTGGTAGAGATCATGAAACCCACCCTCCAGGATTTTGCCATGTAATTAAGGACAGAGTCAACAGTGTTTTTGGGGAAAGAAAATGTATCACAGCTCAACACATTTAGGAATAAGGGAGCAGATTTGATAAAACAGGATAAACATGCGTTCATACTAAAGCTCCTCTATAAGGTTTCTTCTTATCTGAATAATATGAAATGTACACCATGCTACTTCTGCATTGTGGTAAGGTAGACTTCAGGTAGAATTGATCATTAAGGGGTCTATTCAGACAGCTAGCCGAAGGATCGGAAGCTTCGGTTGGCCGAAGTGACAGCCAAAGCGGGCGAACGGCCAGCTGAAGGCCGGCTGTACGCCTTGCAAATGACAGCTGGGCGGAGCCAGCCGTGATCTCACCGAGCCCTATGCCGTTATTCACTCACTGCCGTTCGGCCCCTATGTGAATAGGGGCAAACGGCAGCGAGTGAGCTGCCAGAGCTTCGGCTCAGCCAATCCAGATGTTGGATCGGCTGAGTCAAAGTCCTTCTGCAAAGCCCTTCTGCAAAGCCCTTCTGCACTTCAGCTCAGCCGAAGTGCAGCCGATGTACAGCTGAAATCAGCCGTAATGAGCCATAGTGAATAGCCGAACCTTGTTCGGCTCACTTCACTACGGCTCGGTTATTCACTCGGCTGCCTCCGGCAGCTTCGTGTATAACCCTGTAAATCTTGATAAGGAGCACAGACTACACGTTTGTGGCGCCCCAGTCCACCTAATTTGTTTTTGTCTGTAATCTGGAGATCCTGAGACATACCTGATGGTTATGCTGGAACAGCTTTCTTGCTGTCTTTATACAAAGAAAGTCTTATTTTAAAAAAATATGCCTGTACAAGAGGGAGATGTTCTGTAGTCCTGAAGGGAGAACTCAGACTGGGCTAATAACACTGCTGGGAAAATTCAATGCAGCAGAGACGCTGTGTTATCAGCACACGATCTTAGGAGCTTACTGGATTTCTGGCAGGATCAACCAGTGTTTTCCTGTACATGCAACGTTTTTAAAGGGACAGCATGAGGATATATGCATGTATTATAGAGATGTATGAGACAACATCAAAATATGCATGTTCTTTAGAGGTGTATTTGTTATTTTTCCATTACATATACGTTATTTTAATTGTGCAGTTTTAGTTATGAAAGATATACTTCCTTTGTGTGATTCCCACACTTCTGTCATTGGAAGAGAATGTCACATTAAGTCCGACAGCAGCTGCTACACTGTCTACTGTCTAAACTCATACAATGCATACTCAGAAATGTAAAATCCCCATGGGGGCAACCCCATGTCTGAGGAGTCGATACAAATATTATTGGCCATACAGTGCCTGCATCCAATCAGATATTACAATAGCTGGCAGCCATCAGTGGGGATTCCTCCATCCATGCTGTTAAGACTGTGGGGCAGAACAAGAGACATTTTGAGCATGCATGGCCAGCTTAAGTTCAGGAAGTTGACCATGTATCAGACATCAGGGCCTCAGATTGGCCATACACCTTGTACAATCTCTGTACAATCTTCTATAGATTTGTATAAGCCAGCCTTTTTCAACCCCCTAAGGTGCCTTCTGGCTTTTTCGGTGGTGCCTTGAAATGTTTGCACAGCATCATGCCTTTCTACAGCGGCAGCACAATGGAAATGAATGATGCTAATCTAGACAGGGTGAGATCCATTCAGAAGAGGATGAAAGTTCACTTCCATCCAGGCCTCCTCTGCCTCCTGCCCTCTGCAATGTCACCGCAGCTGTGGCTCCTGATGTGATTGGGGGGACTGAGAACTCTGATGTGAAGGGGGCTCCTGATGCAAGGGGGGGGTTTCTGATGTAGGGGGGCATCCTGATGTGAAGTCAGGGCTTCTAATATAGGAGGGGATGTAAAGTGGGGGTTCCTGATGTAGGGGCTTCTATGTGAAAGGAGGACTCTGACGTTAGGGGGAGGGGGGGGCTTCTGATGTGAAAGGAGGGCTTGGTTTTGGCATGGAGTTTCCCCTATAAAATCCATATCTGATCTCCTTCCTATACGTTGAATGAGGAAGTGATGTATATTACATCACTTCCGCATTCAGCTGTCATTCTCCTGCTTCTGTAGCTGCTTCTCTGAAGCAAATCTCTGCTTCATCAGCCTCTTTTGGGGTCCCTTAGTGACATTAGGGGTCTTATAGACCCCTGATGTCTCCATAAAGAGGACCTGTATGTGTAAATTGAATACACAGACAACCAGAATCTAAAGGCATAGAATAAACATTTTTAAAATAATGTAAAAAATGAGAAACAAATTTACATCCGTGTGCTTTGGGAACCATTGCGACAACACACACTTTGCCACAGTGAACTAAATTGCGTATTGTTCTTGTTGGTGAACCGCGGTGCTATTCATTTTTACTGGCACCCAAACGCACCTTGCTAACACATGTGCATTGCAGCGCACCATAACCAGGGATTGATTTACTCTTTGAAAAAAAAAAAATTATCTTTTATTATTGTTTTCATTTTTTTCTTTATTTGTTTTTCATTTTGTAAATTTGTATTTCTTTTTTTACTTTCTACTTTTTTTTTAAATGTGTATTTATCTTATTATCTTTTACTTATTTTTGTTTTTTTTAAACTTTTTTAGCACTTTTTATTTTTTTTATTTTAATTATTATTTCTTATTTTTTTTTAGGCAGACCATGGAGGGGGTGCGGACCATGGAAGGGGAGCAGTGGGGGGGACAGACGGACCTGCAGGCTGCATAGAAGTGATCTCAGCGACATCGCCAAGACCACTTGTACAAAATGAGCAGCTGTACATTTAGCCCTCCTTGCCCAAAGCAGGGCTTAATGTAGAAAAAAAACCGTACGTTCTGGTGCACATTTACTTTCAATCATTGCTATGAATGGCAGCGCGCTGAAATGCATTGCCGCGTGTTGTAACAAAATGTATGCAGGGATCCCAACCTGAAATAAGTCATTTCAGGGAGGTGCCCTTCTCATTTCAGGGAGGTGCCCTCTGTCAAACAACAAGGAAGAGAGCCCCTCCCTGAAATGATGGCAGATAGCAAAGAAGCTAATGCTTCCTTTGCTATCTGCTGTTTTTTTTTTAGTGTTCTGACAGCTGCTGCCTTCAGAACAAAAAGAAAAAAAACAGCATATTAATGCATAGTTAGATTGCTATTGGCTATTTCAATTTGCAATAGCCAATAGCAAGCTGGCTATTGCACCCGCACTCTGCTGCTGTCAGTTAGCAGAGGTGGACCTGATGGAGAACTCTGATTGACAGCAGCAGTGGGTGGTTGCAATAGCCAGCCTGCTATTGGCTATTGCAAATTGAAATAGCAATCTAGCTACGCATTCCTATGCCGTTTTTTTTTCTTTTTCTGACTGACGGCGGCCGCCGGCCCCGATGTCAGAATAAAACAGCACGGAAACCTTTCCAGGAGAAAATGTTTCTCTCCCGCGTGTCTGGGAGCCGCTATCAAATAGCAGGAGACTCCCGGAACATCCAGGAGAGTTGAAATGTCTGTGTATGCCTGGATGATTTTTATCCCAATGCACACCAACACATGGCACCACGGATCAGGCCTTCCCGCGAGTCCTAGGCGTGCAGCCACCCAGGGCTGGCCTTAGGCTTTTAGGCGCCCTGTGCGAGAAAGATTTACAGTGCCCCTCAGTGACCACACCCCTCAGTGACCACACCCTTTAGTGGCAACACCCCTGTAACCACACCCATTGTTGCCAATATCCGCACCATTTAAAGACTCCTATTTTGTTAAGCCGCAAAGAAACATATTAAAAAGTGTGATAAGAAAGGTATTCAACTTGTAGGCACAGTATAAGTATTCTTATCAAATAAAACAACAGAAGTTAAACAATAAATGTCAAGCTAAAATAGAGTCTATACAAATAAAGTGTCAGGTTGTCATGCCGACCCTTTTTTCAAGTAAGTGCATCTAGAAAAGTAAAAATAGAAAACAGAACACAAAACCCGAACTACATGTAAAATGAATGAATTACTATATGTCTGAATATACGAAAGATGTATTCCGGCACATAATAATTTGTTTGAGAATGTGCGGCGGCCATGTTGGCCACCGGCGTGTTCTGTGAATGCGTGCCACCATCTTGGAGGCAGGAAGCATGACATTACATGACGCCATGCATGCGTGGCGTCAGGTGATGTCACACACCGATATTGGCCCGTCCATTTTGG